TATAATTTTATAGAAATACGAAATATACATGTTTAATTTTAAATTTGATCGCGGGCTGCATACAATGACAGGGTGGGCCGCGGGTTGAAGACCCCTGGTCTAATATATACGTTATATGTCTCTCTACAATTATTATTTAAAACGTAGTTATAATAATCAAAGAATTAGAATTTCACAAAGAGCGTGGAGTTCATTAGGCTTTACAGCTGATATTTTAGAACTTACACCAGAACAGGTTTTTATATTTCTGGGGAAAAAGAAAATCTTAACACCCTAAGAGGCTTTGAAACGTGTAAAAATATTAAATTTCTAGTAAGCAATTAAAATTTTTTAACTCTCTCTTTTCCAGATTTATAAGCGCGAAAGTACGCGTCAGTTACTGCCGAAATAATTTTAACATATTTCACTTAAGGAAAAAATTGAAATCTTACAAAAAGAAAAAATAACTTTTGTAAATAATAAAACTTTTATTATTTTGCTCTGAGGGTAAACTATTAAATATTTAAACATTTTTAAACGAAGAACAGCCGGTTTACAGTCATACTAAAGATTTAATGAATAATTTGCATAGATTATTTAAAGAAGCACCCCTATCAGACAAATACGAAACTAATTCGGATTCCGAAGCCGAAAACTAGATAAAATTTCAAGTACTCTGCTGGTCCCACTAAACAAGAAGAGCGCTTTGATAGAGTGTTAGGCAGAGGCGGAACTACATATGTGTAAAGGCGGGATTTTCCGCGGGCCTCGTTGTTAAAGGGGCCTCATAGCGAAATTTTTAATTATTTATGTTATTTAATAAAAAAATTAGTTTATTATATTAATCATAGAAATATTAGATGCAATGCATTTTGTAACATTTCAAGTAAACAAAAACATGAGATATTGAAATATTATTATTCTAATATTCACCACGAAAACGAACCGATAAGGGTATAGACTATAGTATATTTTTAAATTATTTTTAATATATTATTCGGTAACAGAGAAAATGAACGTCTTAGACGTCATTTGCAGTACTTAGGTAAATACTAAAATTAAACTATTTGATATTAAAAAAACTAATGACTGAATATTTTTTTTTACTTACTTACCGACAAGGTATAACATGTAATTATTTAAGTTTAAGCATAGAATTAGTAGGTATAAAATAATATCGTTATTTGTTTTTAATTTAATCTAATACATCATAAAACATTATAAAGTAGACTTAAGATTTAATCTAAAGAACTGATGTTATTATTGTCTATGTAATTTTTAATTTTTTAACCCGTCGTTGGTAAACTTATGTTACGGATCATAATTGCTAAACTGTGAACACCGCGCTCACACGTTACTTTTTCCTATATTATTAATTACTCGATCAACTCAAAAAATTGAATCATACATAGAAAAGTATCATTTTGCTCACTACTATTGGTAAAATATTTTTTGTAAAATTCTAGTATTTTTATTATTTATGCGACTGGTATTGTGAGTACCAGGCGCAGGTTCAGAAACGTCACTGTCCGAATTCATTTTCAAAAAATTGGACGGGGTCAACACTTGGGTTGACATAAGTCTTCTAAAAACTGTTCTACAGTCTCCTCCGACAAAGATTAAACATTATTGGCCATTATTTTGAAAAAAAATAAACGTATAAGCAATTAAAATAATATGAAATTGATAAACTGTGAAAGCAACGCTCACTTTATCGGTACAGTCAACTTTGCACACTGAAAACATGAGGAAATACAGATAGCGGCTTTTTTTTTTGTAATTATTGGTAAGCTTTTATTTGAAGGTAATAAGAAAATCAAGCAAAATAACAAACATTTATGTGACTGACGTTTAAAATGCTATTTGTGTGAGCGCGGCGCTCACATGTTTACCAATGACGGGTTAATTATTTTCAACATAATATTTGAAATTTCAATATTAAATTTATACTTATATTTCATTTAAAATTCTAATTGCTTAAACAAATAATATTAATAATAATGTTATAAAATATAGAAAGAAAACGTATTGTTCTTGTGTTATAATTTTAGTGTACAACTTGACTTTGAGAATCTCATTTTATAATGAATGGTCCGAATAAAAAAAGATTTGAAAGTGAAGCGAGTAAACGAAAACGTAAAGCAGAAGAGAAGCAAAAGATTAAATTGTTGCCGTCTTTTTCAAAGTACTTTATCAAAAATTCGGAAATTGAACAATCTTTTTCTACAAACTCTTTTTGAGCCAATAGACTGTCAAATAAAAACGCAAGACGCTTCTGAATCTGAATATTGGACCGTAGTTTTGACACGTATAATAGATATATCGATTACATTAGGTGGCCAAAATTTGTCTTTCAGAGGCCATAGAGAAGATGCTAACTTCAAAAATAATGGAAATTTTATGGCTTTAATAAGACTTTTAGCCAAATATGATCCAATATTAGCAACACTTCTAGAGAAGCCAAAGGGAAGCATAAAATATCTTAGCCACCAAATTCAAAATCAAATAATTGCATTAATAGAAAGTTAAATAAAGAAAAATATAATATCTGATGTACCTCCGCGCCATTTTTTTCCTTAATTCTAGATTCAACATAAGATATAAGCAAGGTTGTTCAAGTTTCTACGATATATCGGTATGTACATATAGAAAAAGATGAACTTGGAATTCCTAAAAGTATTGAAATAAAAGAAGATTTCATTGGTTTTTCTGAAGAAGAAGGAAGTACAGGTGAAGCAATAAAAAAACAAACAGTTAAAACATTTAAAAATAATGGTCTTGATTTTGGTAAATTTAGAGGAATTGGATTAGACGGAGCAGCAAGTATGATGGGTAAACATAATGGTTTGCAGGCTCGACTTCGGAAACGACAGAAAAAAGCAAAATATGTCCATTGTGCATTGCATAATTTAAATTTGGTGGTAAACGATTCTGTTATTGCGGAAATCAGACAATTTTTTGAGATGTTAAAAACTCTATATACTTTTTTGGGAAACAGTATACACTTCGATGTGCAAAATTGAAAAAAGAAAGCTGTGAAATAGATCACTCAAAAGGCTGTGCCCAACACAATGGTCGTCTAGAATTGATTGTTTGATATCACTCAACCATATGTACCCAGATGTTATGAAAGTTTTAAACAACATTACGTTGACCGGGCGTAATAAGGATGAACAAAACAATGCCTCCACACTCAAAACATATTTCGAAAGTTATGAAAGAATTATTTTAATTCTATTGATGTATAAAATATTGTCAAAAATTAATTTAGGATCTAAAATACTTCAATCACTTGGAGTTGATATTGGCAAAGCTGTTGACTTGATAAAAAGCACATTGGAAAATCCGCGATAACTTTAATATTTTATTGGAAGAAGCTAATTCTAAAGCATTACGATGGAATGTAACGCCCGAGTTTTCTTGTATACGAATGAGAAAAGTAAAAAAAAATTATGGTGAGCTATGTCAAGATAAACGTCTTTCAGCAGGAAACCATTATTTTAAAACTCAAGTTTTATATCTATGTATTGATACTGTTGTTACAAAATTGAAAACAAGATTTGTAGGCCTTAGTGAAATAAGTGATTTATTTAGTTGTATTTTACGACCAACTGTAATATCTAATGAAGAGATCGGTAAGAGTGCAAAAAAGTTGGCAGAGGCATTTGAGGACTTTAATCCAGCAGAACTTACAACACAAATCGAATCATTTAAATTTCTGTTTGCTTCTGAGCTTAAATCTTGTCGCAGCGTTTTTGATATGACTAAATAACTAATAATTGATAATAATAATTTAATTACTAGTTTCCCAGATTGTTAACAGCATTTTATTTGTTCCTTACATTACCGGTTACTGTGGCAAGCGCAGAGAGGACATACTCATAACTTAAATTAATAAATAATTATCTCAGGAGCACAATGTGCCAAACACGGCTCAGTGGCCTAGCAATAATTTCAATTGAAAATGAGCGGGCTAAAAAATTGAATTTGTCGTCATTAGTTAAGTTATTTTCTCAAGACCATAGCAGAAAAAAAAATTTTCAAGTATAAGTATATTCATATTTGTAATTTTTTAATTCAATAAGTTCTTAATAAACTGTACAGTATACATAATTTAATGTAATTTAATTACATAATTTTATACACATTTTTAATGTGTATAAACTAAAATCCCTATGTCAGCTGAATTTGGTTACAGATATAATAGGGCCTTCGAAAAATTGTATTCACGGGCCTCAGTGAACGTAGTTCCGCCACTGGTGTTAGGTATATTTTAAATAAGTGATACGCTAACGTTAAATATAAAAATTATTCATTATCCGCATTTATATTAAGGAGACAATAATGACACGATGTAAAAACCATCAATTGATAGTTTTTATGCTGAGTATTACGCATGTCGGTTAAGAGTGATATATACAAAATGTTACGTCGGACCGGTTTGTGTCACCCGCGACCTGTCGGACGAAGAGAGGCAGCTGTGTCGCATTCGCCATCCAGCGGTAAAGCCGGAAGTGCAATGTGACCGCGTCAGCTTCTTCAAGTGAGGCCAAAAACTCTACCGACCTCAATAAAAAATCGTTGAATATTCATCTGCTAATATATTTAATAATTTACAAAAAGATACTGTGGTTTATAATACAAATATCACGCCTTCAGATCTTCCAATAAATAATTTAGAAATTATGGCAGCCAACCCAATTCTTCCGCGATAGTATTCAGGATGGTTATCGAAAGACATAATAAGATTTTTCACGAATTTTGAACGTGTAGCAATTGCTAATATTTGGGATGATCAAAGAAAACTCTTTACGTTGGCACTTTCTCTTAAAAGTCAAGCGTAAACAGTTTTCGAGACAATAGAGATAGAAATGGCTACGTGGCAAGTAGTAAAAACATCAATAATAAAATATTTTAATTAGGAGACCCAAAATCTAATTCAAGATTACTTAAATTGTTAATCTACCTAAAGTTTTTTTTTCCAAATTTTCATTTATAATTTAACACAAAGAAGTTTTTAGGTTTTCTGATAAATTTAAATGTCAAGTAGACGATATCATAGAGGCCGCGGAAAAGAATAGGCATATTCGAGTTGGTCTATTACAAAAATTTTACAATGAGTTGGAAGAACTAACACAAGACAGAATCAACAAAAGTAGAAGGTATCAATAAGCTTAATTTTTTATCTATTACGGTGATAAAAATCTCACGATTTTGATTCGAATTTTCGATTAATTATTAAATTATTTACATCAAATTTTTCAAGTACTAAAAATGACAAAATAATGGGCTACACAATAAAAGTTTACATAAATTGATTAAATCATTTTCCATTAGTTCCCAGAACTATATCCATTCTTTAGTTTAGATGCTTACTCGATAAATTTTTATAGAAATGTGTTAAAATTTATGGAAGAGAAGAAAAATTACTTAGAAAACTATCATTCTAAGGAATTTGATAGTAAATCAAATAAATATATAGATAGTAGATTAAAGAAGTTGTGGGTTGTATTGATGAGTCAAGAAGACGGTTTGACAAGAGAAATTAATGTTCGTATTATTATGTACATGATATTTATAAATTAGCAGCTATAAAGTATGAAAATAATTTTATTTTCAATTTTCAGACTATGATAGAAGATTTGCACGATTTGCTTGAAAAAGAAATTGACCAATTTAAACACGTGATTTATGATCGGTTTTATTCTTTACAAACTCAGCTAAATATGTTTTTACAATTTATTTTAGAATCTTTATCTTCTTTTGAATTAGATGACGTTAGTAAACAAAGCACACTGTTCATTTTACTAATTATAATCATAAGACTTTGTTTTGTATTTTAGCCAAATAAACGCTTTTCTAAAGTATCTAACATGACTAATGACATATCTTCATTCATGGAGCACCAATTTTTACTAATTAATTATACTGAGTCGTGTATCATGAAAAAAGCATCAGAGTGGCTTTCTACAATATTTTATAACCTTAAAAGGTCAGTTAAATATAGTAAAAAAAAAAAAATGTTTTTAAATATATAAAATTCAATTAGACATTACATTACTTGATCTATATCATTTAAAAGATATAATTAATCTCCTAATAATCAATTACAATTATAATTTATATTTTTTTTTCTATTTGATTATGTTGTGTATTGTATATTAGAAAAATAAAATAAATAAATAATTATGTGGCATACGAATTTTTAATTCATTTTTTTTTATTCTATTAAATTTTTTTTTTTATTTAACCCATTAAAACATAAATTTAAACAAATTAATTTTTTATAGTTTTTTAGTAATGATTTGTAAAAAATTGTACGATTCAGATGATGACAATTTACTGGTCAAATTTTAGTTTAATAATGACAAATTTCTTTTATTAGAAATATTTTTATTTTTGAACCGTTAAAAATAATATAATGTGGAAATAATTTAACTCTGATAAGTAAAATGTATTTTTTTTTTAATATAGAACTGAAAATCGAAGAAATCGCCAAAAATTATATGAAATCGCGACTTTTGTACAGTTTCAGAGTACAAAGAATAACAATCAGATAAATTCTAAAAATAATTAGGATAACAATTTATAAGTTATACAATTTGTAGACATTTTTATCATACTATTATATTAACTATACTGAGGCAAAATTTTATTTTAATTATTTTTCATTTAATAATAAAAATAATATTAATATTGTAATATAATAATGAGTTTTCCTTTAATTTTCGAAAGTTACGCCTAAAATTTCTCCATAGAAATAATGTTTTCTTACAATAATCTTAATGTTTGCTAGAGTTCATAAAAATTAATTTTTTTTATATTGTACATTTTAATGAAAAATAGAAGTAACAAAACATATTTGATGCATAAAATACGTTACCATACTTTTTAATGACGAAACATACAAATTTATAGTTCGCTTTCATGTTACATTTATTTTGTAAAATTATTTTAAAAATGTTTTTTTCAAAATAATATGTAACTCAATTGATTTCGTGCGACAGAAAATATTATACAAATTAATTTTGTAAAATATGTACTTTTAAGTAAGTGTATATTTTATAAAATAAATAATGACATATTTCGTTTTTATTAATAAAAAGTATTTGATGTACAAAAAATAAATATTGTATTTTATTAAACAATATTTAATCAGGAATGTATTATAACATAAAAAATTATAATTTTTTTATGGAGTGTTGAACAAATAAATTTTAATAAGGTATCTCACGGCTACTAAAAATTTTACTAAAAAAATGTTAAAATACATTGGTACAAAAATATTGGTTCGCAAATTATTTGGTGACTAACTTCTTAAAAATTAAAAGGATAAACATAATAATTAAAAAAATTTTAAAACATATAACACATAACGATAATAAAGTATAACTGTTTTTTTTTTCTTAAAACTAACGGTTTCAGACAGTTTAAACAATATATAAATGACTTTATGCTATAAACTATTCATATTCATTAATTTTAATGACTTTTGTATGCATTAAATTTTATGAATAAATTTTACGAGCTATAATATTATCAATTTAATATAATAGTTGAGATTTCTCACTTAATATCACACACTATATTATTATCATCACAACATTGTAACAAATTAATGTTTGTGTATAAATATGCTTGATAATTTGTTCGTACAGTATTTTTTTTTGCATAATAATGCTATATTATTAAGTACAACAAAAATGTTTTATTAAACATTTTTAATTATTTCAATAATTTTAAGAGAAATTTTATAAAGGATTTACAATTAAAACAATATAACAATAAATAGCAATTAATCAACAGTTAAGGAATACTATTAGATTTCAATACCTATCACATTCAGTTTCATTAGCTTTCAAATTACCCTCAGGTTTACTTTCATTTAATGTAGACCACGCACAATGTATTTGAAAATGCAGTCTTGTTTCTAAAGAATATCCTGAATAATTTTTTCTAAAAAAAAAAATATTTAAATTCTAGTTATATTATCTTTTATAATAACTATTAAAATATTTTAGTAAAAAAATAATACTTCGCTGATTCAAGGAACCAAGCAGCTTTATCTAATTGCCCTTTATTTTTATAAAGAAAAGCTAGTTCTACGTGAGCGTACGGCACTAAAAATCTATCCTCTTTAATTTTCTTTTCCAAAGAGATTACATTTTTTAAACATTCTTCAGCAAGTAAAGGGGTATTCATTATGCGTAGACATGTCCCTTTAAGTAGTTGACCAAGAGCTTTGTTATCAAATTCATATTCACTACCATATTGTCCTGTAAATATTATTTTTTCAATTCATTGAACAATTCAATAATAGTTTGAAAGTATTGCTATAAGTATTTCAATGTTAACATGATATAAATGCTAAATATTCAAATTATATATAAGAAATATTACAACTCAAGTCTGTAATTTATCATCTAATAACTAAAAGATATTAATTAATTATGTTTTACCTTAACATGGCATAGATATACATTTAAGTATTATTAGTTTAATTGTTCAAAAAAATGTTTTTGGAAAAAACACGGTTTTTGAGTGTATGAACTAGTATAACTAATTATTATTAACTTTTTTTTTATACATTTTCCATACAGAAATAATAGACTTGCTTAGTTTTAAATTGTTTACAATCCTATATATAAATTAACTTTCCTATGAGCTTCTATAGGCACACATTAGGAGAGCATAGGGGAATATATCCCCTAGGAAATTAGCGTAGTTGCTATGAAGGTTTTTTTTATAATAATTTTACTATTAGAATCGCTTTTTGAACTATATTATTTTTGTTTTATGTTATTTTCAGTTTTTTAAATAAAAAATAATGGACAAAAAATGTCATTAAATTGTCTCTTGTAAAATATCATATAACAGCGTCGAGATAAATAAAAAAGGAGAGTACCTAACTTTTTCTTGTCTTTTAAAATAAGTAGATATACATTGCATTTTATGATTATAACCTTTAAATGAATATTCATTTCTTAAGTAAAAAGAAAACTAAAATTAATTAATAAAATAATAATTCCATTATGATTCTTCTTTAAAATATAATATGCAAAGTATTGGTGTTAATGACCTTTTTAATTGATCACCGAAGAAAAATCTACTCTTAAGATTTGACCAAATATACATAAAATGACTAAATACAACATTATATCGTCATTATTCGACTTCTATGGACTTGCAACGTATTTTCCCTTAGGGTCCTAACAGTTCGCTACGCTGTACCTAAAAAGGCAACAGTGGCCCTACATAATTTATATTCCACTAAAAGGGCAGTTAGTAGTTTTGTATCCAAATAAATATAGGCTCTTAACTAACAACGATAACAAGCATTTATTTCTCTTTAATATTATTTAAAATATAACCTAACTGGATCTCAAGAGATGTTGGTGGTATCCAAGTTAGGTGAGCGACAGCGGCAAGTGTACACAATCCAAAATAATAATAATAATTAAAACAATAATACTATTTATATTAGAAACCACAATAATAATTTGTGAGTTAAGTTATCAGATCAATAAAGGTAATGTACCGCAAGCGTAGTAAAATATCGACTGTCTTCCTCGTGTTTTTTATTAATTCAAGAAGAGTGTAATCGGTATGTTAACACCCGCACGCCTCATACTCATAGTTGGGCTGCAGGGACGTTTATGCTAATCAGGCACTAGTATAGTTGCTAATTTTTAATTTTGGTTGAGGATAAATAATCTATCCGTAACAAACTAATCGAACATTTTATGACATAGAAATATTAGAAGGAAAGACTTTGGCAAGCTAAATTAAATCACAAAATAGTGGTCCATTAAGTCAAAATAAGGACAGACCGCCAAAAAAATTTTGGTATTCTGGTTGGACAATTAACCTTAAATATTCTTAGCATATTGCTATCAAACTTAACGTCGTTCCCGATTTCGGCTACATAGTTGTATTATATATTGACGGATTTCACAAGTATTGTATATCTCAAAATACTAATTTTACACAAGTTAAAACCCTTTAAAATGCCCCTTAAATATATTTAATGTCTTGTACTAAAATTCAAAGTTAAAATTAGATACGATTACTATATTTTGTAGTTTGTAACTTGAAAAAAATAACAACGCTGTTTTAAGAAACCTATTTTTAAGAATTTCCTAATTTCAATATTATCAAATAAAGAAGTTTAAAATCTCACTTTAATGATATAAAAAAAATAACGATTTTAACTTTCAATAATAATACCACACTTCTAAAATATTTATTCAACCGTGTTAGGATAAAGAAAACTCTAATCACATTTCTTTTATTTAGGGAAATCGTGTTTTTTCAGGCAACCCCGGGGAGGTAAGACCCCCAGAGAATGTACTAGGCTGATTATCGTGAGAAATATGAAGAATAGTAAAGAAATTTCAAATATCAGTAAAATTTAGTTTTTTATCACAATGGCTAGATAACAGTAAATTATATTACATTTATAATAATAAAAGCGTAAAGATGAATGTATTAAATTTGTATTGGATTTTTACTGTTCTATGACTAAATCAAGATCGACGAAGAGAATAATACATGTTTATTTTAATGTATGTATGACATACTTTTGTAAAAAATTTTATATTTAATTATATTGTTATCAAACATAATGATAGACAAAAGCAATTATCATCAACTTTTTTTTTTTTTTTTTTTTTGTTATATTACAGACCCCCTGATTTTTTCAAATGTTTTCATCGAAAATTATCTGAAAGAAACGCTGGAAAAAATATTACCCATATTAATGGACTTATATAAAAATTATTTAAATGAGTCTGCTTTAAATTAGTTCAGACGTGACATTAATTTCAACCCAATCCAATGTTATTAAAGTCTATACCAGGATTTTTTTCAAGATCTTTAGTATGTTTGTCAATGAGTCTAAACAAATTTTCGCATAGTGATTTCTTTTTACTGAACACTTTGAATAGATTCCAAAGGTACATCAGCTCAACTGCTGGTAAAAATAATCTGTTGTTTTGATTAATATATCTTTGTGATTTCTTAACTGAAAATTTCTCCATTGGAATTGATTTACCCGCAATTCTTTGTTTATATTTTGGCACATCTCTGTATTTATAAAATAAAATAAATGTAATATTGAAATTGATATTAAAATGAAGTCGAATTTTGTTAAAGGATAACTTGTCCGTACAAAAGTACTTACAGCATCAATTGATTGATAGTATTTAGGTCATCACGAGACAAGTTGCTATGTCCACGCATAAGCATAATACACGCACGCTGGTAATTATAGATGGTACGCGACCATTTGCTTTCTTCCATTAATTTACACGCATACATTTCCGCACGTTTCCAATCTAATGCCACACTATTAAAATAATAATAATTTTAACCATTATTAAATAATAATGCACTGTTAAATTATAAATTATTTATTGAAGATATTTTAACAAGTAATGAATTTGCGTCACAAACACAAAATAATAACATATGTAAATCTATATTTAATCTAAAAATTGAGATTAAACATAAATTACTTCTTAATTTATTAAAACATTTACTCACAACAAATAATTTTTATATAATTAAAAAAATCATCTTGTTATTTTTACACTACTATCCCAGTAGTGAAATCCCAATTTGAGTCGCCCTGGAACTACTGTAAAGCAATATTTCAGGGCAAAAAAAAATTATTTAATCTATTAGGAAGTACCCTATCTCTCCCCAAGTACGCTACTGTTACCAGGTCATATTTAACATTGTAATTATGAAATCTAATCGCATATTACCAAGATAGTATATCTTTGATTGAAAATTAATGTACAAACCTGTATGCCCAAACCATTTCCCAATAACAAATGTGATGGAACTGTTTCCATGCAATCTGTGATTGTACTGATGAAGTATACCATTTGGCTGCTTCTTCAGTATTACCTCGCATAAATTCTAATCGTCCTTTGAAATATAAGAACAATGCACCATTAGGGTATATCTATAAAATATGTTATTGATAGAACAGGAAAAAATTATAACTCGAATATCAAAAACTATTTACTGCGAGTTGTTGTTTTAAAGCCACATCGCAAAATTCTAAATCACCATCCTCTTGGGTGAATACATAAACTATCACTAGATTATAGGCGAGCAAAGTCATTACACATAAAACATGGCGAACTCCGTTTTGCAGCTGATTGCCTAAATGCAACTCGTTTAGTCCAAGATGCTATGTAAATATTGTTTATAATTTATAAATATTTTAGAAAAACATATCCAACATTTCATTAATAAATTATTTACTTTGCTTCCAGAAAATCCTATGAATTCTAGTAGTTTGATTATTTTTGATGGAAGCAATGAGATCATCTATGAACCGAAAAAATAATTAGATAATTTCAGAACTAAAAACCTAAATGATTTCGGTTTTTCGAACATTTTTATCATATCTATTAAGTTAATTAACCTATATCAAATTTTTAAGAATTTGTAAGGATTATAATTATTGAAACTGGAAGTATTATGATATAGGTTATAAAACCTTAAATAACCTAAAAATTGTAAAAACCAAAATTAACCATTATTAAATATAGATTTTTAACTTTTTTAAAGTCAAATTTTAATACAATTAAAGGCAAACTTAAAACAAAATAATATTTTTGGGTTCTGTAATAATCTTTTTAACATGAACTAAAAAAAAAATCGATATAGATAAACAAATATATTAGATAATAGAAAAAAATGATCAATAACCCAAATTATTTCCGTTCCTATCCTTTGGTAGTTTTACAATATTTTATAAAAAAATGCATCAATCTAATAAATAGTTTTTAATAATTCATCTTTGCGTCAGTATGAATACAATTAACATATTTCTTAAAAGCGAATTTTTCAAGTAATTTACACTGGGATGTGTTTATATTAGCTCAATAGTAAATCATTCGATCAAACTAAAAAATATTTATCATTAAAATGTTTTTTGGAAGTATAATAAAACTATTAAGAGTATTTTAATCTGGTATTGTTTAAAACAAAAACATTAATTATTAATCAAACTATAAAAAAGTGATTTTTCATAATGTTTCTCGGATTACTACTTCCCGTAGTGTCCTAAATATTTACGAGGATTGGATCGATGTAAAAAGTATTATATAAAAGTTTCTAGAACAAATTTTCATTTCAACTTATTAATTTAAAATAAAATTAACCAATCACAAAATAAAACAAATTAAAGTACTTAAAAGAAATATAAGAAAGTTTTCTCATATTTCTTTTTAGTATAGATTTTTTTTATTCGTAGTTATTTGCCATCCACGCTACGCATTTGCATTAAACAGTCAAATATGAAACCGACTAGTGACGGATTCAAAGGGTGTGTGCCCTTTTCTAAACTATCATTGTCTACTAGAAAAAATACCTTTTGAATGAAACAATCAATAAATAATTGATTTTGTGACGTCTAAAAATTATTTGTGTCATATATTTTAGTGAAGTATTATTGATTAATACAAACAAAATGAATTTGTTATAAATAATATTTTCTTAAAATGATTTTATTTTAATTCTTTATCAATATATGAATTATAAAAAAAATTAATCAATGTATTTTAATTGATAAGTTAACTTCACAAAAAATAAAAAAGAGCGACTTTTTTTTTACTTGAGAACATTAAGAAAAAATGTTACTTTTACCATTAACACCTTGTTATATAAAGCTTTATTTATTAATGTAAATATTTTTAAAATACAAACCAAGTTAAAGGCGCCGATTCCAAGTCGTACACCGCTCTCAAAATGAACTTTATAGGAATTTTCTTCTTCTATCCAAGATCGAGAAACCAGAATATTATTGCACTCTCTGTAAAAACAAAAACAATATATTTAAGATGTTTATGTTTATCTTGAAAATAAAATGAACACTATGTCATAATATTTATTAAATACATACTTACTTATATGAATTAAAACATGAGCGTATTTTTATTCCGGCTCGTAAAAAGCTGACTAGCGTTTCATCTTCAATAAATGTTAATAATGCTTTGAGCAACAATGCCTCTGCATAACATAACTCCGCATGTATTTCATCTGTAAACAGCAAACATGTATTTCATATGTAAACAAAATATTAATAATATAATTTTTTAATTAACCTATTTAATTAATTTTTAAAAATATTTTTGAAAATGTCGCAAAATTTTGAAAAAAATAATTATGGAAACAGTATTATATAAAGAAATTTAAACCAAAATCTCATAAAAAAATCTAATAAATTTTGGAAAAATTGTTGATTTTAATTTTCTTATATCTGACATGCGATAAAAAGTGATTAGCCTACAAAGATTATTTCAATTATTTGCCGTCACATTAAGTGTGACAATTTCAATCTCACTTATTGGTTTATGCGAGTTACAACACAAATTGATTTGAACATAAGGTTAATTTATCTGTAATTTAATAATAAAAATAGTAAAAAAATTCAAAGTCTTTTTTAAATAAGCTGGTCTACTAAGAAATCACATAAAAAAAAGATTTTTTGATTTTGATAAAAAGTGAAAAAATTAAAAATAACTGATATCGATTTTTGTCAATCAATTTCGTTAATTCAAATGTTTAGACTTATAATATTACAAAATTATGCACATCTATTTCCAACTTGTTAAACGACCTTTATACTCAACAATAACAACCTAAACGTAGATTTGTTTTACTCGAAGGTTAAGAAGTAAATTTCAGTATCTTACTATTATAAGAATAACAATATTTACCTGGGGTATATGAATCATAATTAGGTTTCTTCATCATATTTCCAATGGACTGCGTTAATGTATTCTTCTTCCGGTATAAGTTACACAAGCGTATACTTCTTTTCAATGACGTAGATGCTTTTTGTATACTCGACTGCAATTAGGATATTAAATTAGTATAAATTCAACAATTTCAAAATGCAAAATTAATTAAAATGTGACTTTTGAATTTTCAACAAAACAATTACTTTTTTAACCATGCGACATAATTATATCTTATTAATAAAAATAAACTCATAATTAAATTATGAGTAATATCAGTAGAATAGTTGTGGGGGAATTGTATACATAAATCTCATGTTGTAATTTTTAATATAATTTACTGTCGTGTAAAATAAGGTTTGTAATCGAAAATTTGAACCTCAAATCCCTCCTCTTACCTATACCTAAGATCTTTTTTGTTTGTTGTATTGTAAAAAAAATAACTGATTTGTTTACTGGTTTATAAAGTTAAACAATTTATTATTCATAACAAAAATTGGGTAAAAAAAAAATGATTATTTTTGTATACATTCATCAATAATAATTAAAGGTTGGGTTATAACTCTAACCTTTATATCTCATAAATATCTGACCTTGATTATTCATATATATATATTGTGTAAATAAATTTTAATTCCCACAAAAATGTATAATAGCTAAATTAATAAGTATATTAATGTACAATATGTTGCAACATAGTTTTCTTCAAAACAAAAATTAAAAAAAATATTTTTTAATTTCTTAAGAGTTAGTTTCAAACAAGAAACCTTTAATTTTTATGGTGTTTTAATTACTTCCTCACTATATACATTAACAAGTATCAAATTATGTAATGTTATAATTTCTATTAATTTACAATCAATAATAATGACACTAAATTCTTAATATTCTTGAAAAAATTCATTAGTTGAAAAGTAAGTAAAGTAAAACTCACCGGCTGAAAAGTAAGTATAGCCTCAAGGAACTGAAATATTGATGTTCCCATTGTGTGATATAGACTTGTGCCCACCCTGTAATGTCATAATTAATTTCAAATTAAAAAATGAATTATAATTTTTGTAGTCAAAGCAGTAAATATACAGGTGATCAATTTTGGGTAAGAAACTGATTTTTTTCAGAAAATATTAATAACATCTAATTTTTTAAAATAAAAAAAGAATTGGTTTCAAAATGTCTGCAAAATAATGATATGTGATTCAATAATTTTTTTTCATCCCTTAAGAATTAAAAACTTAAATTACATTTCTAAATGAGAAATCCAATTTTTAACCAGATAATATGACAGAAAAAAATTACAAACAATTTTGTTCTAATAATTGTTTTTAACCTATTAATTGTTTACGTTTGAAAATTATTTAAAAATTGGCATTTTAAGTATCAATTCATCATTAATTTATGTTTCTTAATAGTGGAGGCAGCTGTAATGTGTTTCAATTGGCCGAAAAATGGTTTTAATAATAGTTATAAATACAAATGTTCGATATTTTATATTTTAAAACATTAAATATAAAAACTTAGTATTGAAACTTACCTATATCAAATATCAGGCAATATTTTTTGACACAAACAAATTTCATATTTCATTATTTCATCAAATATGAAATAATATGTTAATGTAATTCTTATATATTATACAGGACAAGCCACGAAGATATATCAAATTCAATAACTTTAAGTCAATAATTTTCTAGTTCTTGTTTTGTGAATTTTTGCATTTTTAAACTAATATAAAATTATATTTAAAAAAAATTGAATTGTTTTCGTACCAGAGACAAATAATAAGAAAAAAAATGTTTTTTATCATAGTTTAAAAATGCAAAAATTCTTTTTAAAAATAATTAGTTAATTGATTATTGAATTTTTTATATCTTTTATGATTCACCTTATAAATTAGTGTACCTATTTGTTTTCTTGTATAATTTGTATAGTTTAATCAAAATTTTAAGGGCTAAAGCTCCCTAGACCCAACCTCCACCCGACACCTATTGGTATAATAACTAATCATTCTGTAAAATTCAAAGTTAATTAATAATATTATTACTAAAACACACGAGTAAAATTATGCAATATTTCACACGTGATAATTGAAAATAAAATTGATCAAAAGAACCTATATAGAAATGTTAACATTTAGATGAATACATAAAAGAAATTAGTTACAAAGTAAAAATTATTTATAATTAATATATAAACTTAAAATCATATAAAAAATTGTACATTTATATATTATAACTGTTTAATTATTTATTCTAGCACATATATATAACATATACGCAACCCTTTTTTTAATTTAAATATTTATTTATTAAAATATTAATTTTTATCAAATCGTCAACCATTCGAAATGCATTTTTTATTGGAATAACCATTAGGTATAATAAAAAATTATTGGATTATGGTTCATTAAGTAATATTATTCAATGAATTATTAATGGGTGAAATTGGGGGTGATTTGTGGACTGCCTTCGTATGTAAAAATGATGTGAGAGATCGTGTCAAGTGAAGGTTTAGAACACAAATGGCCGACCACAAATAGTTGGGATAAAGGTGAGGAAGAAGAATTATTAAACTTGTATAATATACGGCATGCTAATATAAATTTTACAATTAATAAAATTAACGATTACTTTACCATGGTTGTAAAATATTTTGAGCATCATCAAATTTGTTGTTAAAGAAAAAATGAATTGCTATTTTTGAATCATCCAGGGCTGTATTAAGATCCATTGTACAGTGCCTAAAATTATGAAAAACTCTTTTAAACAAATGTATAGTATTCAGTTTATTTAACTTCTAGTACATATTGAAATATGCCATTAGCCTTCTGAATTAATAAAGACGTTTACCGGATGTACCGATAAACAATACAACACCTTCTCGATTAACACTGAAATATTAAACATAATTTCTTTATCTTTAAAATAACATTTTCTAAAGTAATAAATTTAAAAATGATATGTTCTACAACCTTCTCACATTACGTAACTTAGATAATAACGGACTAATTAGAGGAAATTTATTATGAATAATTAATTATGAATTTATCTAAAATATTAAAAATATTATATCCATAATACTATAACCATCAGTACAATATAAAAAACAACTGATTTTGTATTCACACTTATTTTAAATATTCGGAATAAAGACTGAAACTATAACCTTTTTTAATTTTTGGTAAACTTTTAAAAAAAGATTGCAATTTTTTTTCCTTATTTTAAAAAGATACCTATGGCGTACACAAACGGAACTTAAACCGTTACTTACATACAAAATTATTGTATTCGAATTGTTTATTCAACGGAGTAGTAAAAATAATCCATATGTAGGTACGTGTATTGTGAAATTTGCAAGTATAATTGTTGAAATTCCGGAACACTCACATATAAATTAAACAATCCTTTGTTGTTAAAATAATATCAAATATATAATTTAATTTGAAATTTACATATCATAAGGAAATATTATGACAATATTGTTTGATATATTTTTTCATATAGGAATTCAATATCTCAAGTTCACGAACTTGATATTTAAATAAAGTAAACAAATCATAATTATATATTACTTTTATCTACGTTCACGAATCCAATTAATTGCCGTAAAAGATTATAAAAAAGTTTTTTTTTTAATATTCACCAGTAATTCCTACTATGATGTCTATTAAAATATTTATTTCAATAATCATGAAAGATTTTCCAGTAACTCATATTTATATAATTACTATGTAATTATAATACATAATGAATCATATTTCTATGTGTAAACAATTAAATATTTAAACGAGATGTTGATTATTGATGTTTTCAATAATTTTCGTCAGAAATATTCCATTTTAAGGTGAATTCTTTTATGAATAAAAATTAAATAACTACGATGCAACATTTATAAAGTTTTAAGAATTTAATAAATCGCATGATTAAATTATTTTAATGTTAAATCTATTTATTCTTTATCAGTATGGAATTTGATTTAAAAAATCTAGTTTTCCAACTTCAAATCGTTATATTATATTATGAACTAATTCTACTTAAAGAGGAAGACCACAGAATTAGAAATATTTCATGGTTATCGATTTAAGAAAACTTAGAAAAAGTGCATTAATTAAGTTTACGGATAAATACCATGTGACCAGACTTAAAAAAACATTTAACTCGATCAGAAGACAATATATACTAATAATACCACAAGTTAAAACAGAAAAAATTGAGTAATTATTAGTTAATAGTAGTCATTATTATTTCATAACATTCAGTTAAAGAGATTTTATCATAAATGTTGAATATATTATTCGCTACTTTAACACGGTATTGGAACAACAAAATAATGAGTAGAAACTCGAATAAATTTGAAGAATTAATTAACTAATTAATTTTGAAATGAAAACAATAAGCATCAATTTTTATGTTACTCTTAAGATTAAGAAATGCTATTATGAAATACAACTTTTTTCACAAATAATAAACACGATGTGAAAATGAGTAAGTAGACTAGAAAAACAATTTAAGATATATATACATATATATAATTTTAGTTTCACTTACGCTGGAATAACTTCCAATGCATCTTCAAACTGTAAAATAAACATATATATATATTATTTTACAAAAAAACTTTTTTGAGATAAAATAGTAATAATAACAGTAGATTTGGGCAACTTTTTTAATAGCAAGTTAAGTACATAAAATCCTAACCTTTATATTTTATCTTTTAATACAATTTTTCATAGATTAAAATTTAAGTTAGTTACTCGAAGTATATTGTATTTTTAAATTATATAGCAAGACTGTTAATCATTACAAAAGTAAGTTAGTAAAACGAATTTACTAAATAAAATAAGATAAAGTACTGTATTCATTGATTTATTTATTTACTCATAACGAATTTAAAATATGCACTATATTTTTGATAATTAAAATTAATTAAACCTTTTTGAGAACTCATATAACATCAAATAAAAAAACATTTTACCTACAAACTTATAAAAAAATATGTTGAGTTCTCGAATACATATTTTTATGTAATAAAATTATAAATATTTACCTCATCTTCTGCATCAGTATCGTCAATATCATCCATGTCGTTCATATCGTTTGTCATGTCGCTCATATCTTTTAGTAGATGGAATTATAGAGCGAAAAGTTTATCAACCGGTGATATGGATCGATATTATTTTTAAAAAGCCCATGATGGTGCCTATAAGGCTAATAAGAAGGAAAATGTAAATTAATAATTTACGATTAGATATAATTTTGAAAAAATCAATATGTTTATAATATTATATTAAAAGCTATCTACGTCACGCGTGTTAAAGAAAGTTTGAAAAATACATGTTCAAATAATCAACAGACGGCAATCACACGGTCCGTCAAATAACAACTGACTGAACTGGTAGCGTAATGCTACTTGCCTCTCAATCCCAAACGAGAATGAGTTGGAGACCACTCGCATCGCCGCGCTAGCTATGCCCTCGTGTGAATTCGCCGCAATGGCAATAGTAGTAGTAGTAGTAGTAATAGTAAGCAAACTTTAAATCTCAATAATAAATGACAACCTTGACCTAGTTAAACATCATAAAAATGACAGTATCTTTTAAAATTAATATTCAAAAATTTAACCCAAAAAAACTTATAAAACTTGACATAAGAAAAAATTTAGAGAGATGGAAAGCTGAAGTAAAGCATACTGCCAACAAGGCCGGCGGAAGGGCAATGCCGCCAATACACTTGCCTGAAGCACCACATTTTAAAGGGTCTCGCAAGCGTAAATTAAAATCAAAAAGTTTTTATTTAAGTATACCTAAGGAAAAAGGGCCCCGCAAAACTGTTATTGCAATATATAACGCCGGCATCGACTGCACAATATCATTAAGAAAATGCTTATTAAATAAATATAAATATTAATACATTGACATACTAAAGGCAGATTATTGAAGTTTCAAAATTATTATCGATTCACCCTTTGAATTAAACAAGGTCAATAGAGCATTATATTTATAACCCTGAATAATTTTAGTTTATATTCTGAATATAATGAGTTTACTTTATCGTATCTAGTTCGATGACTTACTTTATATTACAGAGTTTTAATTTGAAATTACAAAATTCGCAAGGGTTTCATTAAAATATCACTGAAAGTTTTTAGAGAAGTACAATTAGAAAAATCCAGTGATTTGTTAAAATAACTTTAATTGTATTTGGATTTGAAAAAAATATTTGATTTTTCAGATAGCATACACCATTCTAGTTATTTTCATTTCCATTTTACAATGAAATTTCAAAAATACAAACTTTATAATAATTTAGTTTTAATATAAAAATTACACTCTTAAAATAAATGTCAAAAATTTTACATACATAAACTGGAAGATTTTAACGCATACAACATAAGGAAAAATATTGATATATGGTAATAAAAATGTTTTATCTGTGTACAAACTTTCGGTATTTTATGTCAAAATTACATTATATTTGTGTAAAGTTACCTATATATTAAAATATTAAACTGACGATTAGATATTTTTAGATCATTCTTACAGTGTATTATTATCATTATACTTATAAATATAAAACATCGACAAGTTGCAAGTTTTCATCTAACATAAAAAAATAAAGTTGTCGCGATAATCAGTGTGGACAAGTCGTGATTAGCTACAGGATCGATACTTGGTTACGAGTGGCTCCTATTGCTTAGCATGAGGTTAGCTCAGTTACTAAAATCACCATATCTTTCCCCAGTGATGGAACAGAAACCTGGTTCGAAATAATATAAGATTAAAAATACTTCTGTTTGAAGAAGAACTCCGGTAGACGTAAAAACGAAAAATGGTTTGAAATTATGAAAAATTTAACGAATAATCTTATCATAAAACTATTAAGTATTAAAAAGCTAATATTTTATTTCTTTGAACAAGTACCACTTATATTTTACAAATTAAATATTTTTAATTTAATTAAAGAATAAAATTATTGAAGCAAAAAGTACGTTTATTAGCTTAAAAGCTTAAACATAATAACAACTCAAACATAGAATATAATTTATCACGTAAATTCTTATTTGAATTTTTAAATAATTAAACAAAAAAATTAATTTTGTTTTCAATTCTCAGTAAAATGAACAAACAATATAATCTTATTTAAAAAAATTAGACATATTTGAAGAATTTTTTTCAGAAAATAATAATAATTACTTTTTTATAATTTTATTTTAGAAATGTTATAAAATGCGGGAGAAAGTTGTCAAATTATTTAACGTTTTACTAGTAACTTCTTAATATGTATGATACTGAATAATATTCAACAGAAGTATTTAACGAATAAACAAAAACAAAACGTGTATTTATGACAAGTTTGTTTATAAACTTATAAACATGATTATAACAATTATCAATTATTTCATTTATCATGAAAAATGAATAGACAACTTTAAAAACACCAATTCACTATAGAACAAGGATGTTATCAAAAATAAATACAAAAAAATACGTCTCAATATATAATAATAACAAACTTTTATTCAAGGCTGCAGTAAAACTAATTATACATATGTATCCCTACTTTTTAAAATACGGAAACGATAATTTATGTTTAATAAGCTGCTTCATAAAAACTATATATCGAGGTACATATCATATCATGATACTTCCACTTTAATTATTATATAAAACTATTGCATAAAAAATATATAAATTGAAAGATAAATATTAAGTTAGTAAAATTAAAAGTAAAGATTTTTTGTAATAAAATTTAAAATAAATTTAATATTAAATAAAACGTATTAATAGAACAAATTTTAGAAGTTTTCGTGTATTTAGATCGTAAAATTAAAAAAATTGAGATATGAAATAAATTTTTTAATTAAGGAGAATTTTACCTCTGGAGGCGGACTAACTACCCATCCCGGAGTAAGGAACCTCCTTCTTTGGCGGAGGCCGCTATGGCCCTAAATGGGTTAATAAAAGCGTATAAAAAAAAAAGAAAAAAAGGAGAATTCTACAAAGTTCACCTTAATTAATAATGATTATTTATATACTATAATGTAAGCATTGAAATTCAGTTTTTGTTTAGCATAATGCACATTTAATAAAAATTCTAAAATCAAAATTAGATAGAAAAGAGGAGGGGATACTGCACGTTATGAACCAGAACCTCGAGTTAAAAAATTTCGGAAAATAAAAGACGAGAAAAAAAATCATCATTAAAATATTATTACACTAAAGAAATCTCAATTAGTCTAAATCTGAAATTGATTATAATTGTCACAAAACAAGTATTTGTTTAATTCAATCATTAGCTATTAATCATAATAATCATGAATAATTAAATGATTAATTTAAAAAAGCTTTTGTTACAATTAACAGTCAATTCTAGAATTTAAAATGGTATATATGCAAATAAATCAATAACAAAATAATATAAAAATAATGTATATAAATATACAGAGTTCAGTAAATTAGGAAACAGGTCAGTAGTTACAACAACGAGAACAATAGAACTTGTATCCTTACTTGTTAAACACCCTATATATTATCTGCTTTATTAAAAGGTTTTTTGAAAAGTTTTACTAGTGATGTAATATTTCTTGTTAATCATTTTAAATGTCAAGACCTTCACTCAAATTTTATATAAAATTTATGCCTATAGTGCTAACACATTTTTGATGTCACTTGCCTCTTTTGAGCATTAGACCATTCATATATACCTCAGACATACCAAGTTTTCATAATTTCAATTTAAAATTAAAAAGTAAAAAAAAATTAAGTAAAAAGTAGCATAATTTTGGTTAATAAGAATATTTTTAACTAATAAAATATATATTTTTTGATTCAGTAACTAAATTTTAAAAGCTATAATGATTGAGAAAGATATTACATATAGTAATAAGAAAAAAATAACATAAAATTAAATTGATAAAAAAAAATTTTAAGTTAGAAAGGTATCAAGGTATTTTGATATAATGTTTAACAAGTAATGAGATTTTAGTAAAAAGAAATAGAAAAAATATTGAATACACCTATAAAAACTTTTATTTTGCTGAATAAACAGCATTTACATACATAAAACAAATAAAAATATATCATTCATTTTCGATTTAAACTTATACTTAAGTTAAACATATCTAAAGCTAAAAACACTCATCTATAAAACTCTTCTCTTTCCACTATGGTTTTATGGTATTCAAATCTGGGGCTATGCCGCTCCATCCAACATCCAAAAAATCCAATCCTTTCAATCCATTTGCCTACGAACACTCACCAATTCCCCTTGGTACGTCCCTAATAAAACTCTCCATTCAGATCTTCAAATTAGTTATGTTAACAATATTGCCAAAACTGCTTACCTAAAACTTCATAACAAATTAAACTCTTACCCAAACCCTAATATTCAATACCTCTATTCAAAACACATCCCCAACAATCCGCCAAGAAGATTAAAAAGAAAGTGGTATAGAGACCTCTTATAGGAAAAAAAAAAAAAAAAATGAAATCAAAAAACAAAATTCAAAGTAGGTAGTTCCATTGGGTGCCCCCCTACTGCATGCTATTCAAGTCATATTGCAATTTTTTTTTTCACTACTGTTAACCCATTTACGGTTGTGCATATATATTGTATAGATGTAAATTTTATAAAGTTATTTGAATAAAATAAATTTTAAAAAAAAAAAAAAAAAAAAGTTAAACATTTCGGGTAGAATAGTATCCAAAATAGAAGTCATGTCGATCATGTATCCTTAAAATAGATTTCATACTATAATTTAATAGTTTGAGTATCATATCGCCATATCAAAATTATTTTATAAATTTCGATATTTTTTAAATATTTATGGTAAGTTAGGAGTTAAAAAAATAATAGCTTTTACTGGACCAAAATAAACCATCATATCCATAATCATATCAATAAAAAACCATCGTATCGACAAAATTTACTACTTCTCACAATTTTGCTTTCCGTTAGATAAATCTGAAAAAATTGGTTATATTCAATTATTACCGGTTAGGTTTACGAAAATTGGATTCAGTTCCTATTTTTAGGTATACCTAAAAATATAAGCAATGTAAACATCTCTTATGTCTTATAAGAGTGTCGATTATTTTTTAATAGCAAAATACATATTTAATTATCTTGTGCAATAGAAAATTATCTATATTATATAGAAAATTATAAATATTTAAATAGCTCATATAATAGCATATAATCTTATTGAGAAAAATTATTAGTCAATAACAGCTTCTAAACTATTATCTCATAAGTTACGTTAAAGTATCCCTCAACTACCAAAACCCTTATCATATATATGTTAACAGTTCATTTTAATTTTATATTCAAGTTTAGGTTAGTGAATGATAATTTAACCATAGCCACATAAGCGTTCATCCCCCCCGATGTCCGCCTATACTGATGGACCCCCTACCCAGTGTAAAGGTGTTTAATTCCTCTAGAATTGAATCATTACTTCAAATGTTATGTAAATTGTAATTATTTTGATTATAATTGTTTTCAATCCATATTATCTATTTTACTTTAATTTAAAAATTGTAAAATATTTAACATAACAGTTGGTGATATAAATCGTATGGGATTCCACTGATAAATTGTTCGATACTATAGAAGATTTATTTTTAATGTATATCGAAAGCAAATAGTCTTAATATAGATAGATGGGAAGGAAGGAGAAGCAAAAATAAGGACATGGGTAAGGCAGGGGTAATCCTGTCATCAATGCTGTTCAACCTGTGTATTAAAGAAACAATGAAAGAACTGAGAGCAGTTCGAATAGGAGGAAATATTTTTACTGACTAAAAATTTGAGAACAATATAGCTTTGTGAGCAAAAAACGCAAAAAGACCTTCAAAATACCTTTAAAAACGTTAGATAGAATATTAAAAAATAAGTATGGAATAAAATATAATAAAAAAAGAAACAAAATTTATGGTATATAACAAAACTAACTCTGTCCAACTCAACATAAAGATCGACAATGAACAAATAAGCCAAGTACAACATTGCATATATCTAGGAAGCAGTATAAATATAATCTACAAAAAATAGACGAAATCCATATACTAACTATTAATAACGTCAGCCTGAAGATAACGAAGAAATCCCTGAAAAGATACACATTAAGTATAGTGTTCTTTAGATGTGAAACCTGGAAAATCAATTTAATAAAAAAACCCTCTTGGAGCCTTTGAGATAAGATACTTCAGAAAAATATTTAAGATACCATAAGCGAAAAGGGTAACGAATGAAGAAGTATTAAATAGAATAATAGAAAAACAACAACTATGGCGATGTATTCAATACAAAAGAAACAGGATGATAGGATATATTTTAAGGTATAAAAGCTTTCTAATGAAAATAATCAAAGGCCACATTGCAGGAAGAAGATCAAGGGCCAAATTCATGACACCAATAGCAAAGGACATGAAAAAAGGAACTAATAAAGACCTGAAAGAATTGTTATAATAGAGAAGCATGGAGAACTGCAACAAACAAATCTACGAATTAATAACTAAAAAAAAAGTAAACAATTCGGATTTAAGATATGGCTTGATTTTCGTTGTTTATGAAAGAGGTTCGGTTAAAGTATATTACAGTCAGCGTACTTATCGAAATATTCTATATTTTTATTTGTGATTAATGGGAAGTTTTTAGTACTTAATAAAATTACTGAAAATAGACATAGATATATTTTATTGAAATAAAAAATGTATTTTATTATGCATTAATAATGATTTGTATTATTAATGAAATATTGTTGCGTGACTAATAAGGGCGCAGGGACAAATCCACTGTGTATTACTTCGCCAAGAATCATTCTAGCTTCCAAAAAATTCTACCATATATCCGCCTATGATAATCAGATAAAGCAGAAATTAGAAGAGTAAAATCCTTCTAGATTCCCCATATTTTGCCTATGAATATACTTAAATGACATCAATTATATAGGACGCGTTTCGATATAGCTGAATACACTGAGCCCTACGATATCTTAACTTGAGATTCTACACATGGTCATTTAATTTTTGAAACAAAAACACAATATCCGCTAAGAGATTTTATATTCTCTTCCATATTACAAATACCATAAAATCTTATCTTAATCATTTTTGCCTTTTTAATGAGAGTAAAAATTTTCTTTACAAAGTGGTACAATTTACAAATGGATCAAATTTACAATGGAAGTCATTGGCTATTAGTACTTCAGTGAATAAAATGTTCACTTACAGACAACTCATTAAATTAAACTTAGTGATCGAATGTTGTAAACATACTTTAATAAGGTACTTAATATTCTTAGGCACTTTTAATACTCTATAACAAATAAATATCAGCTGAACTTTAATGATATCGATTCTACCTCCACTTGCACAATACACTGTATACTCTGCATGTGAAACAATTCCAAACTACTTGAAAATTAATGGTTCCTAGTTATAAATATTATCTATAAAATGTTTACAGTGGACATTATATTAATATATTATTCACTAATATTTAATTTTTTTATTAGTAAAACAATAGAAAAATAATAAACTATTGACCAGATTAAACTATCAGCTGGTGTGATTAATGTAGAGACCAACACTAGCAGTGGTCGCACTCACCAGTTTATTCTTATTCTACCACAATAACAGGCAGCACTGTCTGTGGCCGGCATAGAAGCATATTGATTATTTTTCAGGTCATATTTCGTACCGACCAATGAGCTGACATTTTACCCAATGCTAGTCTGTTCATATGGGTGTGAGTGTGTGTGCGCGCGTGTAGTATTACCAAAGGACAACGTCTATGTTATATCGAACGTGCGCACGTCTGCGGTCTGGGTGGGGGGAGCAGCGGGTGGCAGTGACGGTGAACACGGGCCAGCGCCGATCTCGGAGAATTTATCGCATACTCTGTCGCGCGAACGCCGATAACGCGTTTATTTATTTTATACACACACATACATAAACATTAATATATACGTCTATAATAACAACAAAATTTGAATGTTTAATATTTTTAAATTAAAAATAATTCATCATTATATACATTAAACAATTTAACGATAATTCGAGTTTTCTTGTGAATGCGTATACGTACAGTGTTAAATTACTTGTGTGTGTGTGTGAATGCGTGTGTGTGTGTATGTGATATAGACAAGACGGTCAAGACCGTGTAGTTGGTATCCTTCGTTCAGTGGCCTATTGTGCGTTAGTTGTGTGGTCTCACGGAGGTGTCTAAACGACGAAATGTTGCCAGGGTGTACGTGACGACCACTTTATCGCCGTTGGTTGAATTCAGGCGCACAAAATGCAGCCGGCAAATAGGTAAAATTTAAACAAAACAGTCAAATCGCCGTCGGTTTACGTTGTGCCAAAACGTTAACAAAAACGGTTGAAGCAGAGTTGATACGACGGAGGCAGCAGCAGATTAGAGCGGCTGCTGTTAGATGCAGGTGGCCACTTTGTTTCGGGAGTCGGCCACTCTGCTCGGAGCCGCAATGGAACCTGGCTCGTCATCAGATGGTTCATCTGCTATAAAACAGTAAGTGTGTGTGTTTTTATTGTACCTGTGCATCATATTTTCAACCTGTTCTTTATTTATCTAGTGCAATTTAAAACCTTATTTATTTGAACCCCCCCTTCAAAACGGAAGAAATCTGATTATCCATTGTGTCTCATTTTAAATATTAATGTAATTTAATTAATCTCTTGTTCATTGTAATCTTAGATCATATCTGTTAAGTGTTAATTTGCTGAATAAATTTGAAGGCCATACTAAAACATTGTTAACTTACTATTAGTGTTTACTATTTGGATTACAATTGTACATGGACTATCTTATTTATATTTTAATACATGTTCAATTAGGTGTAATTCGTATACAGAACTTCTATTAAATAGAAAATTAAAAATTTTAAATACTTTATTATAACAATTAAAAAATATTTTAATACATTTAAACTGATATATACAGTTTTTTATGAAAAAAAAACCATAAGTTTAAATGGACCTTTAATAATAAATTAGTTATACTTATTTAAGAATTTCAATTTAAAAAAAAAAAAATTGCCTAAACGAACAAAAAAAGTGGAAGTATAAGTATGTGAATGTAAATACAAAGTATGTTATTTAGAATATAGTACATTCCATAATTTCTGCTAAAGCAATAATTTAATGTGATGGTTTATAACTTTTATATTTTTTTCTTAATTTGACTAAACTAAGATCTTATACATATTGTAATTCACATTTATTAATCTATAACCATCAAAAGTATATATTTTTTATTTTAGTTTATAAAAATTTAAGCTATTATGATTTCATAATTTGTTATTTTGTTTTAACTTCTAATATCTCAATAAAATTTATTCCATACAACTTTTTTAAAGTACTTAGTCCCTTCCCGCTTTAAAATATCAGATCAAACTTTGTTTTTAGTATTTAGACATAATATTCATTAGATTTACTGAAACAAAAAAAACATTTAACTTATGTAAATTATCAATTTGAAAAAAAAATTGTACAAAATTTAGTTATAAACCAGTATGGTTATTCAAATACACTTAACTTATGTGTTTAGTTTAAAAAAGGAAAATTTTTACGATAGCAAAATAATGTTGTATATAACATATTTTTTTATTTTGCTGTAAAGCATAATAGTACAAAATATTTTGTGTCGTCAACATTAAGATCAAGGTGTGTTATTTGGCATCTAAAATTAACAATACTAAATATCTATACTTTAACATTTAGAACATATGCTACAAAAACAACTTAGTCTAATAAAACAGTATCTAAGAAACTTGTTAAGATAAACACTTGTGTTTGTCTAAAAAGTTGAAACTGAAGATGCAAGTTAAAAAATTGTAAAAATGACATCATTGAGTGATAAATCAATATGAGGCATATGGTAGGTAGGAAGAAAATAATAGTATTGTGCTAAATTTTTTGATAAAATGAATACCACTATTTTGCTTAAAGATATTAAAAATAGTGCACTTTATTAGTTTACTAGAAATCAATTATATCTTTAATAGTATATTTTTCTATTAGACTTCATGATGTTGATAAACTTAATTTTAGAAAATTAAGGGCTTAAAAAAAATTCTTTATTATGATTTGTCTTAAATTCAACTTAATTTTATTATTTTAATAACAATGTTCTTTAAGTTGTAAAAGTATTAATGTAGTTTTTAAAATATAGTATTTCAGTCTTACAATAAGTTAGGGGTACCTACAAATTTAGCACAACTTTTATTAGTAGTACAATTAATCATGTATATTTTAATAATTTTTTTTTTTTAAATTATAAGTTCACACAAGAAGTATTCTCCCTAGTTATAGATATACCTTTGACCATATTTTTTTTAATTTAAAAAGTCTGTATTAAATATTTTTTAACAAAGAGTTGAGACAAAAAGCTTATACTTATTAGTATGTTTGAAATTTAAAAGTTAAATATTTAAAACTTAATATGTAATTTATGTATAAAAATTTATGCTTATATCCTTTAGAGATGATATTGTGGACCAAAGTTAATTTAACAATCAATAAATATACAAATTCATAACTAAACTTGGCTGTATAAAATTATGTTTGATATATCTAAATAAATAAATTATATATCCCTAAAATGACTTAGCACACAAGATAAAAAAAATTAATTATATCATAAATCAAAATAAAACTAACATATTAAAAATAGGATAATATCCATTTTTTTCTAAAGATTTTGTAAATGAATAAATATATCCAAATTCTAAAATTAAAACTGTGTTTTTGTTTGTGTTTTTTTTTTGACAAATATAATATACATACAGGGTGATCAATGAATCATTAACCACTCATTTACTCATAAAATCATGAGGTCTAGAAATGTCTAGTGATAAAAGTAGCAAAACCCATTCCTCACCTATAGTAGTTACTTTAAATTATAACTTCTGAAATATTAGTCTAAAAATGTTTATCAGCCAGTTGTTTTCTTAATTAGTTTATTTCTTATTTTAGAATTATAACAAGTGTTTTATTTATCTAGCATCAATTGTAATCAGTTAGGTTAGATGTAAAGGGTTTAATTCTAAAAAGTCTTGATTGATCAAAAAGTGCTATTGCTGCCACTTTGGTTACTTCTATGATTTTAATACTGCGAGAAATTCAATAATTCATTGGATTCAAAGCTATGTGTACAAATTGAAATTTAAAAACTTAGCAAAAAACAAATTTTTTCTTTTTTTTCCTTATCTATATCCCAACTACTTGGGGTCGCTTACCCTTATCCTAAACTTCCACTTGACACAATCTGCCACATTATCTACACTTCATGAGCTGTCCTCATGGCACATTCAATAACATCCCTCCATCTTTTTTTTCCTTTACCTCTTTCTTCAAAATTAATTTCCATAACTATTTTTACAGCTTCCGATTCTTCTCCTCATAACATAACCAAACCATCTAAGTATATTTTCTCTCATCTTATCCATGATTGATGCTACACCTATACTACCTAATATTTTTATTCCTTATCCAATCTTCTCTAGTCTCTCCACTCATCCATCTAAGCATTCTCATCTTTGCTACATTCATTCTCTGCTCTACTTTCTTGTCGACTGCCCCTCACTCTGGACCATACATCATAGCTAGTCTCACTAAAGTCTTATAGATTTTACCTTTCAGCCTCATTGGAATTCTTGTTTTACATAACACACCAGACGCTTCTCTCCACTTCACCCACCCACAATTAATCCTGTGTCTTGCATCCTCGTCAATACCACCTTTCTTTTGCATAACTGAATCTAAATACCTAAAACTTTCCACCTCTCCTATCACATCCTCGCTTATTGTCACTGATCTCCTCATTTCGCCTTCTTCTTGTTCTCCTTTATCAAACTCGTACTCTATATACTCTGCCTTGCTCCTACTTATTCTTAGTCCTTCTCCTTCAAGAGCTAATCCATACCTCTAGCCTTTCATTAATTTTTACCCTGTTTTCTCCTATTAACACTATATCATCAGCGAATAACATGCACCATGGTACCTCTCCTTGTATTTCTCTAGTAATTTCATCCATCACCATAGAAAATAAGTAAAGGCTTTAAAAAACAAGTTTATAACCTGAAATAATTTAATAAAGCAATCGAAACCATTTTCCAAAATAATCATATTGTTATTCAATATTCAAATCGATAGTAAATGTTATAGTTTACAATGTTTTTTAGTTCACGTCAATTATTACTTATAGCATTTTAACTGATAATACACGTTTTGACTATTTCTTCTTGCTCGTTTAACTTATAAACTTATTTATTTATAAGTTAGATAACAGAACCGCCAGCGATCTAGTATCTATTAGTTCTTAAGTGAAGCCAATATTTTTTCTGGCTAGACAATAATTTTGTTGCATCATAGATAAATATATATATATATTTATGTAACTTATGCTTTAAGACTTAGTAGCAATGTTTAGGTTAACATTTTTTACATAAAACATTATTATTCCAAAATTTATAATAATGATCAGTGCCGTTGCTAAATTTTGTTACACTCGGAATAAATCAAGTTATATCTCATGTGCTAGGGAAAAGGGTTGGTGTTGAAAAGTGATTCTTTATAGAAGTGTTTACAGAGTAATGAAATTAAATTTTTCATTTAAAGGAGTAATGAAAATTTATCTAATATATATTGTACTAAAACAAAATCCTTACAATGCCACTGTTAGGTGACATTGTACTTTTTTGGCAAATGCTTCACTTGACCTGTTCTGCACTCGCACCAATATTTATTCATTAAAATAATAAATAAATACAACGAGGAAAAGTTATTTTATTTCTGTAAATAATACAAAATAAAATACAATTTAAATAATAATAAAGAAGTAAACTAATTAAAATGAAAATTATTTTAACCAAATCGGATCGAATAATAACGAAGTCTTTTAAAAATTTACCACTTAAAATAATTTATATATTTTTATTTCAGTTTATGTAATATAAAATGTAACAAAATTAGTACTTTTACTATAAAAGAATATAATTGAAATATAAAAATGCAGTCATAAAATAGATAATAAGTTAACATTTGTTTTACTATTTGGTAAAATAAGTCCCAAAAGTTAAGATGTAATTTCGTATTAATGTGGACATAAGCAAAATTTTAAATGTATGAAATAGAGGGCTTAGTAAATTAGACTGTGCATTTTTTAATAGTCGAGTTCATATTAGCGATTTTTAATTTGCTTTAGGCTCATTTTTAGTAATAATAATAAAACGTTTACAGAAAATAAAGGGATACATGTTTTTAATTCTTATACATTAATTATTTAATGTATCCTAATTTTTTAAGTTAATTTATTTAAATTTAAAAAAAATTAAACAGGACACACCCTAGTTTTTCTTCTAGTAAAGAAAACTATTAAATTAATAGTATTTATATTATGACTAAATCAAATTGAATTTACGAAATAAGTACACGTTTTCAATATTATTTAGAAATTATTATTTGAACTTTCGAATTAATATTATTTATGATGTGAATTTAGCATTTTTTGTTAAAATTCAATTTTATCGTAAAACTCATGTACTTTCATTATTTATTAGAGTAGTTTTGTTTACAATAGTAAACCATTATAAAATAATGGTAAATGTGACAAATTTATATGTCTTTTAATTATATGAGTATAGTTAACAGTAAATTAGCTTAAAAGTAAATTTTTTATTTACAATTTGAGTTAAATTTCACGAAAAAGTAATTGGATATATAACAAAATTTTACAAATTATAAAAGATGTGTATCTTTTTAACAAATTACGGTCGTAATATCAACTTTAACTCTTATTAGTTGTATGACTTAAAATACTTTTGTTTTGTCAACTGAAAAAATTTCAAATAAATATTTACTAGTACTTTAAATGTAATCGTATTATTCTTAAAGAATTTGATTGTATAATAATTTTTAATGAAATAAGTTAATTTCAGAAATAGTCGCAAATCAAAACATTTCGGTAGGCTAGCACATAACACTACATCAATTTTGTCATTTTCCAAGGAAATTAATTAATTAAAACTTAGTTTTTTAAGTAAAAATGTTTGATTTTTTTTTTTTTTTTNNTTTTTTTTTTTTTTTTTTTTTTTTTACTGTTTGCAACTCATTTATGCATTTTACTATTAAAGGTACTAACTGACGACAAGTTTTAGAAAAGGGGTTCATACCCCTTATGTAATCGATGTCCCCGTAATTGTATTATTAATCTCTGATCAGATTATACATAGTTAAGGAAGTTCCTTATTGAAGATGGTTTAGCAAAAATAAATATTTATTGCTGCTTGGCGTGAAAAATCTTTGTTCAAAAAAATGAAGTACACATCGAGTTAAGGGTGTATTTTTTTCCAAATTTAGAGTTATAAAAAATTTCCCATTTTTACGCAAATTGCGATATATATACAAAAAATATTTATATATTATATAGTTATTTCTCAGAAAAAAATTGTGTTAATATTCATAATTAATAATATATTTGATACATTATGATACTTTTGTACCTATAAGTTACACTTAAAACTTAACTAAAGTTTTCAATAAGTTAACAATGTTATCGTATAGTTTATTCAAAAAACGTGCCAAGAGTTTATAAGTAGTTTCTCCGCCATTGTGCTGTAAAAAAAAGTTGTTTAAACTTTAATTTGTTAACTAAATGTATTTTTATGTTTATACTTTTAAGAAAATACTACAAACATGGAATGAAGAGATGCCATTGAATTTTTTTATTATTAATAATGATACGTATTTAATACTTTTAAGTCAGTTTTTAATTATTGAACTTTTATTAGAAAGTCAAAAATTATTAAGTGTTGTTGCTGAAAAAAATGACTATTTAAGTGCTGTTACATATATTTCGCTCTCTAAATGAGTTTTTAATATCTATATTTTATATCTATTGATAATAAACTAATTTTAAACAGCTTCTTCAATTGTCAAATAAATTTAATATTTTATTACTATTAAATAAGAGTACATGAACATTACTATGTTATAATTTGATAACAGTTTGGTAAACATTTTTTTTATAATTGCAATAAAATTAAATGACTCCTATCTTTATTTCTTCATAAACTCCGATTGTGATACAACCCCTATAGTGTGAATCCTGACCAGGTTGCCCGTTGTTGGCTGGAATCATAAATCAATACACCCAACCGTACTCCGCACCATCACTACTGCCGTCACACACCCAGTTTGTTAATCTCCCTCTTTCTTATCTCCTGCGCCGCTGCTGTTCTCGTATTCTATGTTTGTTAAGCTCAAAAATATGAACCTGAATAACAAATGGCTGTTGCTATTGCTATGCATTTATTAGAATTAAGAGTTAATTTTTTTAATAAAACAATTGACTAGAAAAATATTTGTGGCAAATATAACAAAAAATAGGTGATTTATAATTAAAAAAAAATTAAATAACCTACCTAAAACTGACATTATATTAAAATATTTCTTATTTTGAAATAAATTCATGCATTAAATTTTATATTAACCGAGTAAATCGTTAAATAGAACTAAATTTCAATTTTTTTTTTAATTTCAAAAATCAATGATTGTTAAATATATTAATATTATTCAACAACGTTTAATGTGGAAGAAAACTCAGGGAACTCTATTCACAATATTATTTTAAGTGTTCAACGTATCTATGGACGGAGGTAAGTCTATGAGTTATGGTACCCTCTCTTTAGAAATAGCAATATGAAGTATAATAAAAAGGTAACCCTCCTATTTAATTTTAAAAACATGATATCATAATTATGTCTCAGGCAACACGTAAAAAAATAGAAAAAAAATACAGGTTTTTCTTATAAACAATTTTAATATTGAAAAAGAATACACTAGTAGGATGTATCAGTAAAGTTTAGGTATTTTTTAAATTAGTATAAGTAAATATTTGACAGTGATTAGAATCACTGTCGTAGATTGATACGACGTGTATTTAAAACATAAAAAAACTTAACATATTCACCCCAAAATTTACATGGCTTTTGACTTTAGTGGTTGATTGCTTAAAGAGGATAAGGTTTTTTTTTAACCATATACGAGATTAATACTTGTATTACATTAAATAAGCTTTTTAAATAATTTATAACGGTGTAAACATTCCTTTATTATGCAAAATATTACAAATCATATAACTTGTGGTAAGAATTATATGATTTCTTGAATCTTCTAATTACTCCAATAATTTTCTTTATTACTGGAACCGAGTGGAATTTTTCAAAATTGTGGTGATGATAGTTTCAAATATATACCTTTTGTGATTTTATAATATATCGTTGAGCAAAATCAGTCTTGTAAGAGACAAAGTAATGGTGAATACGGATACAAAAAAAAAAAAAAAAAAAAACGGCAAAGTAAAACCAATAACTTCTCTACTACGCATCCTAGCTAATAGAGTTTTTTTAACAAACTTATGATTTATCCTATAATTATTTTCAATTATGATAACGACAAACAAATGAATACTGTTAACACTTTATCAAAAAATATTTTGTTACAAGTTACTATAACTGATTACCAGATATAATAAACTATTTTTTTGTGTCTATTTAACGCTTAAAAATATATTTTATTATAAAGGTTAATGTTTTGTACAACAACTGCCATCAATGTTCGTACTATTACACAAAGCCAATTTTTTTTTTTTTATCACAGTAGTTTTTACAAAAAAATTTAGCGATCCAGTGGAGTTTTCAAATAAATTTTTAAGGGGACAGTCTTAAAATACTTAGTGATAGGAGGAATGAGTTCCCTTGAGTTCTCCTTACTTTAAACCTTATCATGGACATGTTTTTGAAACTAAATCCACCTACGGTTCCATATGCTAAGAGAGATAAGTTATTAATTAGAATCGCCATTTCTCTCACCGATGATGTTTACTAACCTACTGTTTCGAAATATAAATTGTTAATGAATCTCTTAGGAGGGTCCCAATAATCCTTAATAGGTATAAAATAACACAAACACAACTAGAGTAAAATTTATGAAGATGTTAATTTTATTTCTCCCCATCCTAAAAAGTACTTATACAAGATAATATATACTATTTTCTAAATGTTTTATGCGTCTAAGCGTCCTCAGACGCTCGTTATTGTTTCCCTGTGTAATTGCGCCCATTTTTATATATGTCCTATATATGAACTTACAAAATTCAGTGTTTGTATTTTATTTATTTTTGTATACTGTTTGCTATTTATTGTTGTATATAAAGATATATTTGATATCCTTTTTTGTAATGGTATATTTAGAAAAAAATACATTCTTCTATGCCCCTTCATTAATAATGCTATATTGATAAAAATAATTTTTTAACTATATATATGTTTTTTGCTTATAATCTGAGTAAAAAAAAGTCACCAAAAGTTTTAACAATATATATATTGAAATTTTTTCAGCCTACCTCTTCTTAAATATAGGTCTTTTTTTGTAAATATAGGTACAAAAGTTGTTTATATGGGATGAACATAATTATAAATAATTTATAGCAGATAAATGGAGATTGACAAATACATGTGTAATTAATAAAAGCAAAAAAAAAATTATTATTTTAAGATATGTCAAGTTGCTATTTTTAAAAGAATCAATATATAATTACCTTTACTGTTTCTTTTACATCTCTAGTTTTAACCAAACCAACAAAATTTAACCTTAGCATGACTTAGTAGCAGGGAATGATTTTTATTCTTGGAAAGTATACTGTATATTATATAAAAAAATGTCATAGTATAGAATTAGATTTTGCAACCTTTGACATTATATTGACGAACCTTACTTCTTAACCATTCCACATTTATGATTAATATCCCAATACACTTCCATATAAGTTTATTGTATGTGGTTAAGGATACACAGTACCATGTCAAGTACAATCTAAATCGACAATTAATAATATTTAGACTTTGTATAAATTGTTAAAAACTATGTTGTGTAGGTGTAACGTTTAAAATTAAAAATAAAAATTTTATTTTTATTTCATATAATTCTAATTTTTTTGTGTTAGTTTGAATTCTTATTGACTATTTTTGTTTAGTAGGCCCAATAGTTACAACAATTGTGATATTAACATTGGTCAACAATCCCAAAATCAACAAACATCTGTTAAACAAGAATCAACCTGTGCTGATGACGGTTATGAAACCAGTGGTGGAGGTAATGATGCTGAACAGGCAGCAGCTAAACATTCTGCTGCAGTAGCAGTTGCAGCACAACAGCATCATAATAATATGATGAATCAAATACCACAGATGCATCATCATCATCAACAGCATATGAATACTCATATGCATCCACATCACCATAGCCATGATCATCACCACCATCAAATGAATAATATACAACCACATCAAATTAAATATGAAATGCCTGATGATCCATATAGTTTTGTTGATGAAGAAATGCAACATCATGGACAGCAACAAAATATACAATATACTGATGAAATAATGTTACAACATATGCCAAAGAAACGGGGAAGAAAGAAAAAATTCAAGCCAGACGATCAGATGGGGTTAGACTACTTATTTATTTTTTATACATTTAAAATGATTCTGAATATTAAAAATTTATTATTTGTATACTTTGTCAACATATATAATAAACTGATTTAAATTAAATTAAATACTTGTTTGTAGTTTACAATGCTTAAACCCTGATCAAGCTTTTGGAATTATGCAACATATGATGCCAAAAGACAAGTCTTTAACAAACCCTTCTAAAGTTTATAAAGAAAGAAAGAAACATGACCGCTTTAATGGAATGCCAGAAGAAGAAGTCTCTAAACGAACGTTACCTGATCATTTAACTAATAATTTGGATATTGTAATAGTAAGTATATTCACTTAAATATGTATTCATTTTAAATTTTCTGTCCAAAAATCTTGGTTATTTAACTCTTACGCGTCATAATAACTTTCCATGAATGAAGTCTACTTGTTAAATTCACAATTTTAGTGAAATTATATATATTTTTTTATAAAAGTATTTACAAAAACAAAACGAAAATTATAAACTTAATATTTTATTTCAAATTTTTATTTTTCAGTTTTTAAATTTTTTTTTTGTTAAATTAATATTTATCAACATACAACATAATATACAAAAATCTAATAATATACATAATATGTAGTAAATATATTATATGATTTTTACTGTTCAATTCTTATAGTAGCTGGTGATTTCAAATTGCCTAGTTATATATACTGGATTAATTCAAGTGATCACACCTATATTTTTGGTGTTAATTCTAATAAAACTAATTTATTTGATGAATCTATAGCAATTTTATATATCTTGTGGCACAATTAAAAATATATATATATATGTTTATTAGTTTAATATTTGACTGAATTGTATAGAAATTAAAAATGTATACACAATTATTATCACTCATATGTGTGATAATACATATATTATACTTCTTCTTCCTCGCCTTAATCCCAACTACTTGGGGTTGGCCACCCTTATCCTAAACTTCCACTTCACACGATCTCCCACATCCTCTACACTCTTTACCAATATACTATTTCTTAAATAAAATACTTAAATTTCAATTACCTCTGTAAATTGGGTATAGTTGCCCTTATTTTTTAATGAACATATACTTTTTTATAATTCATACAATTAGATTTAGAACAGTTGATTATTATTTCTTATGTTTACCATCATTAATATATATTGTTGAATCCTTCTCAAAAATATTATATTAATGATCAACAAAAATTATTAGTTGAGGGTTTGTAAAACTCCTACGTTGTGAATCAGCTCTTGATTAATTTCGGGCTGATTCACAACGTGGTGGTGTGAGTTTTAGAGACGGCGTGAGCCGCCCTGAAGTAATACCTAATGGTAGTTCCAGGGCGGCCTACAACTAAGCCGGTCATAGAAAAAAAAAAAAGGGTTTGTAAAACTCATGTTAGTATTTTTGATATTTTGATTGAATTATTAATTATTTATCAACTTTAATTTAGATTGGTATCAACCCTGGTTTATTTGCTGCATATAAGGGTCATCATTATGCAGGTCCTGGAAATCATTTTTGTAAGTTCTTTATTATTAAATAACACGTATAATTTGTATATAATATAATTTTGTATGTAGGGAAATGTCTGTATTTGTCTGGTCTAACACCAGAACCTATGACTGCTGATGATGACTACAAACTTCTGCAAAATGGTATTGGTTTTACTAATATGGTAGAACGTGCTACTAAAGGCAGTGCTGATCTCACTCGAAAAGAAATTAAAGAAGGTAAATTTTCTAAGAGAATCGAAAATCTGAGCATAATATACTAGACTTACTATTTATTTTAGGAAGTCAAATTCTCCTTGAAAAATTACAGCGGTTTAAACCAAAAATTGCTGTCTTTAATGGAAAGCTTATTTTTGAAGTATTTTCTGGGAAAAAAGATTTTACATTTGGTCGTCAACCAGAACTAGTAGATGGGACGAATACGGTAAATCAACAACATTTAGTTGGTTAAAATAACATAACTATTTTATATAACTATATATTTGAATTATATTTTATTTCAAACAAAAATATATGTAAGAGGTTTATGTTTTAAACAGTTTTATACTTTTATTTAACAAAATTGGGAGAGATTCTTGCTGTAAAAAAAAACTTTAATATTTATTAATATCTTACGACTTAAATTTTTTTTTTTTTTTTGTAAGTTTATTATCACATATGTTTTTAGTGTTTGATGTGATTATTGATAAATCACCAAATTTCATGAAATTTCTATCATTTTTTTAATATTTGTCAAAAATTTCATACTAAATGTAAAAATCCTATGAATGTATTAAAACCCTCATGGATTGTAGTATTTCTTGAAATGTCAATAAACATATCCATTACCATGTCAAGCAATGTAATAATTCTGTTTTATCAATTGTCAAACTAATATATTTTCTTTATAATTATAGTACATGTGGGTAATGCCCTCATCAAGTGCTCGATGTGCTCAACTACCAAGAGCTGCTGACAAAGTACCATTTTATGCTGCTCTCAAGAAGTTTCGAGATTACTTAAATGGTTTAGTATCTGAAATAGATGATAGTGAAGTAGTATTTTCTTTTACAAAACTGAAAAATTATTATGAACCAGAAATAAAAGATGAACCAAAAGATGAAGTTCCATCTGTATATTTTAACAATTACAATACTTTAGTAGATAGTCAAGATACATTAGAAAATATGTCTGATATTAAAGAAGAACCACTTGTAGTGCAAAAAAAGAAGAGAGGTCGACCTAAAAAAATCAAGAACAAAGATGGATTGCCTGAAGAAGTAAAAGTTAAACGACCAAAACCTCAAATAATTGAAGATAGAGAAGGCGTACCTAAAAAGAAAAGGGGTAGACCCAAAAAAATTAAACCTGATTCAAATCAGTTACTGCCAACTAATAATATTGCTCCGCCTGTATTACCTTGTGAACATAGTAATCCATCAACACAATTATCAAATTGTTTCTCTCCTCCTATACAATCTCCAATGAATTTATCTCAGTTGTATGGGGGAAATAATGTAATTAACAATATTTATAACAATCAAAGCTCTTCACACTCACCTGTATCTAATGGAGGTAGTGTAAATAACAATACCACATATCATCGTTCTCCAATACAATCACAACAACATAGATATTCACAATCTCCACAAGCCCCTTCATTTACACATTCTGATTTATCATCAGAAATCAGTGCAGCTATTTCTTCAGAACATAATTTAGGGTCACGATCTCCAGCTTCACCTAATCTAGGACCACCAGATTTTGAACCACCTACTAGTTTACTAGCAGAGGATAATAGTCCTCATAGTAGTCAACATAGTAGTATTGTTACAAAAGAAGAAATTATCAATAGTTCTATTGATCAACATTCTAGACCTCAACAAATGGATTGCCATTTTGCAAACCCTGTTCAACAAAAAACAAACCAAAAACTAGAAATGCATCACTATCCCTCTTCCCATGGGTATGAAGAATACTCAACAACTGTTGATTCTGTTACAGGATCACCAGCTTACCCACCAGTGGAATCTCCATATCCTCAAACTTCTTCTGGTTATTCACAACAACTTCAACAAAAGTTAACTAATAACCAAGATTTAACTGCTAAAAGTTTATCTGGTTTAGAATCTTTAGTTGAACAAATTCCTAGCATGAATGATAATGATGTTCAGCATGGTGTTCATCTACATCATCATCATCATCAATATATAGATGAAACTAATACAGGTTATATGACAAATGATTATTCATGTTCACCAACTATGAATTATTCGTATTCATCTCCAACTCCTTGTGCACCACAACAAAATATGAACAATTTTTCTGTTAGCTCATTAACTAATGGAAATAACCACCATCAGCATTCGCCCATGTCTCAATCATCAACGTTTTCAGTTTCTAATCTTGCATCTTCAAATTACCCACCCCCATCTCCAATGCATTATAACCATCATCACTCTAATGGTGTTATGATGGATATGGATCGCTTACAACAACATCAATATCAACCACAGTATAACCAATATCCTAGTTCAATGCAGTATAATGGAGGTTTAGGACCCCCAAACAATGTATCCGGAGGGTATTCCAATTCTCATAACATACATATGCCCACACCCAATTTCCCATATCCACCACAGACAGCTATGACATATGGCAATGGTAATAATACAAATAATATTTCATCTTATAATCAATCTAATGGTGGATATTTATCTCAACGTATGGATATAGGTTATGGTGGTAACTATTAATTGTGGGGAAATGTTTAACAAGACTGCAATATTTTTTTTTTTTTATCCATTGCATGGGAAAATCTTTGATCTATATTATGTATATATTAAATTATATTTTATTCAGGCACTGAATCATTGATTGATTTAAAACTATACAAACTAGTTTCGATTTTTTCACTCCTAGTGTTGCTCTTGTTCACTTCTGTAATTTGATTTCATGGTAATAACTATGATTGTGTATATATTTTCATTATTTTTATTTTGTTTTTTTTTATTATTATTACTGCTAAAACTCAGTGTAATAAACCAAGTTACCATTGACTATCTGAATTATATTATTTATCAAAATTGGCACCAAATTAATAATTTGTCTTTTATAAAATCTTTACCTCTAAATAACCCGCTATTTATATGACCGTAAATATTACCTTATTTGTAAAATTACATAATTTCTCAATTAACTATACTTTACTCGAATTTCGATAATTGTTGTCTTTTTGCTCAACCATTATAATTGTTATGTTGAAAAAGTAATTCAATATACTTTCATGTTACCAATATTTACCCCTATTTTTTTGTAAATGCTTTTTTTTTATTAATGGTTAATGGGTTCCTACATTGGGTTGATAAATATTTTTGAAAAGAGAACTTATTGTGAATGTGTTACATTTTCTGGGCATGTGCAATTTAATCAGTTACCTTAGTTCATTATATTAAATAACTATGGACCATTAAATTTATAATTTGTAATAGTTATATGTTATTTTTATGGCATATGATATCAATGAATTCAGAACTGAAATTGGGGAATAAAAATGTTTTCTAAAGGCACCTTGATTATTTTTAATTTATAAAATTTATAAACTTCTTAACAGATTTATTTTCTATGAATTTTGTTGTATTCAATTTTAAAGTTCATAGTACCTCAAACTAGATTAATTAAAAAAAATGGCTATTATAAATTTACAATTCTTCCTTTCAACAATAAACATAACATGTGTTAGAAAATTTATAATTTTAAACTAAGAAATTTTTCATTTATATGTTTGTAAAATACTTGAAATTGTTAACAATCACACAAAAATTCTCAACCCATTGCATATCTTATTACTTTTCTCATTTATTAATTATTTATTTTTTCTGATTTTATTAAAATTTGCTTTAAATATCTTGTAAAATCTATTTAATATGTATATTAAACATATAAAAACAAAGTGAAGACGTTGATGATTTTGAATTATAATACCAAAACTTAAAATCACTTGATAAAATAATTTTTTCTTTTTTATTGTAACAAAAGTAATAGAATGTTAAATATAATAATTAAAACTTATTGTTTAAATTACTGTAAAATTTAATGAATATAAACATAAACTAATTTAAATATAGCCAGTTTAAGTTTATTAGAGGATTTTTGTTATTATTACACATCTTACAAAAAAGAAAGAGAATTAGTAATTTAAAAGCATACACTTGATCATTTATTTGTGTCTATTCACCTTATTCAGTTTATTGATTCTATTGCAATACCTATAAAAGGCAATCCAAGATGTAATAAAAATTCATGTTACTGTATTTATTTTAAATTAAAAATTAGAATTTTTTTTTTTTTTAATTGATTCTAGTTACTTTTTAATTTTAATTATGAAATTTAGTATTTTCAACACTAAACATTTTTTTTCTTATACTTATATGGTGGTTATACAATAATTTAGTTGAAGATCATAAAACACAATTATTTTTTTAAACTAGAACAATACGTGCCAAAATATATTGTATTAACGTAAAACTATAATGTAGTTTGGCTCAAATTTGTTCCTTGTTTTTTTTTTTTTTTTTTGTGTGTGTGCATGTGTAATTTGTTTTCATGTATAGTTTTAATATATTTTTTCTTGTTATCGTTTTTATTAATCAATAATGCTAATGGATAAAATCATACTTTTTTGTGAAAATTGTTAATGTTAATGAAAATGTTTCATTAGTTTTATTGTTGACATAACTTTTTTAATTCAAATTTTGTTAGTTTATATCTTTTTATACAGTATACGATTTATCTATCATGTTTAATTGTATAGATAAATAATTTTTTTTGTTATTTATGCTGTAATAAAAACTGGTAACTATGGCAATAACTTAAGTGACTCAAATATTGCTATAGATTTTTTTTTTTTAGATATTCCCACTGGTTTTATTTTATTCAATAAGTATACGTAAAGATATAGACTGATTGAACAACAAAATTTTGTTCTTTTAGGCTGTCTCAATAATTTAAATGTGAAATCATAAGTCATTATGAATTCATAATCGTTTTAATTGATCTAAAATTGTGATATGATTAAGTTTTAACAGACTTGTATTTAGTAGAAACTAAAGACTAATATTGTATAAACTAAGATCAACAAAAACATATTGCATATTAATTAAAAATTTTATTAAGATAGTTATAAAGATAAATGTATTAATTTCCTTTGAAAAATGTTTTACGTTTTTACTGAGTACAATACCAAGTGACTAGAGTAGTATAACATTAAAAATGTATAAATTTAAATTATTTGGATATTGTCTATGCAAATCTTTGTTTTTTTTTTTTTTTTTGTAGTTCAATAAATAATAATTTTTGATAATATTAAAAAACTCAAAATTAATTTGTATTAAATAAATTAAAATTAAGGGAGAAATAAATGTATATTACAGTTACAATTTATTATTTATATAAAATTTGTTATTTAGTTACTTTCTTTGTTTTATGGAACTCTAATTTTTTTTTAATCAAATGTACATTGTATGTAATATACAAACAATACAAGGTGCATTTTGAATTTTATTTCAGTTTTGAAATGTATCTTAGTATTAATGTGAATATTTTTGGATAAATTGTACTGTTAATTAGTTAATACAACTATAAGGACAATGTACGTCTTAGTTCTATTTATGTGAAATTATATTTATACATATTACAATTGTCGTTTAACTTAATTATTTTTTGTGGATTTCAATTGGTAAAAAATATATATATATATATATATAAATTATGTAATTATAGTAATTTTCAATAAAGCGTCACATTCAGAATATTTATAAAAAAAAACTGTAAATATCTGTAAAAAAATTTTTTTTTATTAAATAATAAAAAAAAACATTGTATTTATATTTAATGTGGGTTAAAATTATTGTTTTTAAGTAAATTATTATTATTCAATTATTGTTTACTCAAAAATATGAAAACTGGCGTAGAGATTTCCTAGAACAAAAAAAATAACTACATGATGAGCATACTATTTTTTAGCTGCTATGCGAAGCATTAATTTTATCATGGCATGTTTATTTTTATTATTATTTTTTCGAGTGTGTCTGCAACTACTTTTTCTCAGTCCTAACTAGACCTATTTTTTCATAAATACCTTAGGTATTTTTTTTTTTGGAAATTTGACCCCTAACCAGCTCTCGGAGAGGAATTAAAAATTGCTATTTTTGCATAAAAAGTTAATCTTTTCAACTAAAGTTTTGAAAATGTTCCGAAGTACTCCGAGTATTAAACATATATTACATTAAAGCTTATGTTTCATTCTATGAGATAATAAAACAACATTTTTTCCGATTTTCTATTTAAAAAAAATTATTAATTTTACTTACAATTTTACACTGTCAGATATCTATACTTGTCCAAACTATGTCACATCCATACTGTGCTGCAATCTCACTGTACTATCGTTTTTTCTTCTAAATTTCTAAAATCAAGGTTTTTTTATATTTGGTTTGACTCGACCCATCTCGTATAAATTCAATTAAATTAAAATGGGTTCACTGATATCAGAGAATTTCTATGTACAAACATAAATGTTTTATACTTTATGACATATTTACATATACTATATTCTCATATACTTGTCTCAACTATGCCATGTTGCCACTAAGCTACCGTTTTTTCGTTTGAAAAACATATTCTAATATTTTCCCAGAACAAGGCCGTAGTTATTCCACTAAAAACCATAAGTGGAAGTTCCAGTTTAAGTTTCCTCTTTAAAATACATTATAGTGTATAAAACCGTTGTAATCATTGTTACAAATTCGAAAAAAAGAATATTTTTACAAAAATCGTATTAGCTTCGATGCGAAACTGAGAAGGTGTTAGTTTTACCATGTTTTTAGCTTCGATGCGAAGCTGAGAAGGTATTGGTTTTACTAAGATGTGTTTTTTTTTTTTTTTTTTTTT